AAATATAATAATAATAATAATAATAATAAAGAGACATAGTAATATAGTGAAAATTCATTCGGAGATTTACAGAACATAACTGAATAAAATTTAAATAATCTCAAAAATATGGCCATAGTTCAGCAAAGACAATGATGCAGTCATGAGGAGAGACATGAGAAAGGGAAAGGCAGTTCCATGTCATTTTAAAGATACAGGCTTACAGATTTCCCTGATTTTATTTTGTGTGTGCAAATGTTCATTATCCACAGAGGTAACGCAGAAGTAGAAATACAGGTAAAGAGATAACTGTGTTCAATACTTTACCACCAGCTCACCTCAGACAGTTACTTAGAAAAAGTTATGTAAGAATAATTCTTTCTCTGTTCACCTGCACAGTATTTGACACTGACTCTTAAAAGAGTTAACAGACCAAGCTGTCTCAAATATTTCTGGGGTGTAACAGAGTTGGATGTACCAGAAAATACAGAGAACGTGAATGCACAAAGATGCCAATCAATCAATTCATAAAGAGAACTAAAATTTGCAAGCAAATCTTTATATCAAGCTTAAATAACAGCAGAAACTTTAAAGGAAATGAAAATCACCTTGAAAAATCAGCCCTATGCAAACTCTGTTTATTGTTCGCTATTGTACACAAATACAAGTAACAATCTCCCATGCAAAAAACACAAAGTAGTTTTTGCTTTGAATTCAGGATATGGGAAAGTAATGACTAGATTTAGCATAGACTTACCTATATAATTTTTTTACTGTTTCTCTTCGTATTCTTTTTGGAGGGATGGGGGTGTCAGACATATCTAACATTACAGGCTGGAGTAATGATTCAGTGGCTCTATCTGATGAAGTCATACCTATGAAAAAGTTGCAAGTACAAACAAATTTAAATACTAATCCTACTGGTTATAAATGGGTCCTGTAACAGTAGTGTTAAACCTTTGAAGTAAGGCTTCAGACATGCATAAATTTTATAGTTACCTTATGTCTGCAACTGAGTTCAAAGATGACAGGTAAAAACATTTGCCTTATTTACAGTTGTCACAGAGTAACTGTTGGTTTTTTAAAATATATTTTGAAATATCAGAAATTATTTGATATTGACATAAGAAAATTTCTGAGAAATACTATCCTTGCAGAATTAGTGTTGTTTCTTTTTATAGCAGAATGTTTTGATTGTGTTTCCTTAGCAAAAGCAATTCAGCTCTTTACTATGCAGTCATTTCAAAAAAGAATGTCAATGTTCTCTACCACTGGGCCAGCCAGACTAGTAGTTATATAATCTCACATTAGTGAGATCATAGTTTCATGTGCACAAGACACTAACTGACCACATTTTTATTATCTGAACACATTACAGGGCAGTGCTGGTCTAGGCAATATCCACAGCATCACACTACATACAGTTTTTCTATTCTTTCAATCCCTAAGCTCTTAATTAATTTTAACAATATTCCTTCATAGTTTGAACTTGTTAGTAGTTTGTAAGAGTAGAATACATCTGGATGCACTTAACAGTTCTCCTCCTTTAGGAAACCAAAAATATAATACAAGAACCTTACCCAATTTTTGTTCTATTAGCTTGAGGCTTTTCTCTTGTTCAGCAAGTTCCTGTTTTTTCTTTTGCATTTCTGGAGTGTTAAGTGACTGCAAATGTAAATCAAGGTCCTTATTCACATTATCAAGTTTCACCACTGCTGCACGGTATTGCTGAAGAAGATCTAAGTGAAGGATAAAATAATAAAACACAAAACAGTAAATTGTAATTCTGAGTTAGAAGGCTACCAAATACAATCCAAACAATCTAGATGATTCACAAGAAAACATATCTTTCAAAAGCACTACTTAAAAAACCCCACCCAAACGTATAGTGGACCAGTGGCTGTTCTTAAAACTACTGTAAAAACAGATTGATTTCTCTTTCCTTTTTGAGCCCGTATCTTAGATCTCAGTAAAGTATCAGTAAACTTTGAAAATTACATGGCAAACCGGTATTTCGTCACACATCTTGTTGCTTGTGTGCTCCAAACTAAATTCTCTACCTTTGATGCCATTTTGTGTGCTTGTAGTATGTTTTGCTTTTAGTGCTACAAAGCTGAAGCTTGTACTACTGACTTGAATTCTAGTCCACCTTGTGGAACAAGAGAACATTTACTGAGTTTCACTTTGTCCCACCTATGGTAATTTAAACAAGGAGACAGTGGTAGACTCGGGTAAACAAAGGCATGTTTTACCAACAAACTTTGTTCCTCTTTTAACATATGAGATGAAGAATTTTTCTTTGTCCAGCCATTGAATAAATATGTCAAGTAATAAAGAAAGGGTTCAGCTCATTCATTTTACTTTGTGGTAAGTATGAGTTAGCTTGCACAAAGCTTAACTAAACACTAAATTACTTGACATTTGGCACAGGGTGAAAGTGCTCACACAGACAGTTACTGCAAACTGACAAAAGGCACTGTAAATTCTAAGTATGGTTTATTTTAGAAGTACCTTGTCAGTGTAATCACAGTTTAAGTAACCACTTTCCTTTTATGCTACAAACATAGAAGAAAAGCAAGCCACAACTAATGCTAAGGCTGAAATTCAGTTCAAAACAAGTCTTGTGTAATGAGGTGCTGTCCTTTATATGGAATTTCACCATTATTTTCCTTTAAATGTCTAGTAACTATCCAAGTGAAATTAAAACATGCTTTTTTTTCTACCATGATTGTTCCTGTACTAAATTATAGACAATTTAGATTTAATTCACCCTGGGTAATAACTGAGTTCAACAATTCAAAATGTGTTGATAAACAAAAATAAAGTGTGCTAAAATCAGCATATTTCAGTCTGTAGTGAAATGCTCACTATGTTTTTCCTACATGTAATATATTTTTACTGAAATGCCTAGGAAAGATCTTTTTAGTCTTTTTTTTTCTTACTCAACTGACCAATGTTACATAGTTTGCTCATATATAAGGCTACTTCAATAGGTACACATGTTCCCTCTCTCACATTCTTCCCCCACCCCTCTTAATTGCACACTTCCAGGAATACTGTCATGGAAAAATTTCATGTCCTTTCTTTTGAAAATTAAGTGTATAAGAACAACCTAATTTGTGAATAAGACTTTTCAATGTTTTACAAATCAGTCGGGTCAGCTGGTACATATCAGAAGCTGCCATCTTTTAACTTCATTTATAACCTTTATTCTGAAGGGAAGAATCCAAGCACATAATCAAACTGAAGTGATCCCACTTAGGGAAATAACGTAGATGATGTTGTGCATGACTCTGATGAGAACAGGAATTTTTCTACCACTGCTTCATAGAGAGAATTTCACAGTAAGAAATTCTAAGTTGACGTATGGTGTTTCTGGAGGAGAAAGACCTGAAACTTTTACTTTTCAAGGATGCTGGAATTCAATCAGCTTAAGCTTCTCACGCCTGCTGTTTGAATGATTACCACTGCTTATACTTTCTTCAATAAGACGAAGAAAAAGGGCGAATATCTCATTATTATTATTTTTTCTTTCAGGAAACTTAATAGCTACAAGCTTTTAAGAAAAGGGAAATTCATAAATAGGATGTTGTACAGGTCATATTTTGTAAAATAACAATGCTAAATCGAAGTTTTCCTTTTTATATTTCATAAGAGAATAACAAACATAGGCAAGCAATATAATTTTGGAAGTTCTGTGTTTTCATGACTTCACTAACCCACCTATTTGTCCAGCTAAAGTAGAGTAAAGTTTTGGCATGGGTGCTCCAAATACCATTCCTCTGAGTTTTTCCATTGGAGGAGCTTTATTCTGAAGGCCTCCAAATTTTCCATTGCTGCGAATCCTGTCTCCTTCCCTAGTCAGCAAAGTAGGGCAGTGTGTAATTTTTACAACCTACAAAGATATAAAAAGTAATACCAAATTAGTAATTCCATGGGGAAAAAGAAGTTTTCAGCAATGCTGTTGTGAAGCTTTCTGTCTTTCAACCACAATGCAGCTTGTTCTCTAATGAGAATGTACTTTACGAAATTATATTTAATGACTCTTGCTTTCAAGTAATAGAATGCATATATTAAAACTAAACAGTACTGTCAATAATTATGAAGACTATATTTTTTTGGGTTTTTTGTGTCCTCAGACTTTAACTGAACTCTGGAGGCAGAATTTAGATCTACACTGGGAAAAAGCTAATTATCAACATATACTATGAAGTAATGGCAATAAACATTAGTGTTGACTAAAAATGTGAGCACTTATTCAATTATTTGATGAAGATGGCTTTTTTTTCCTTTTTTTTTTAAATGCGCAAGATTCAAAGACTCTAAATTCCAAGGGATTTATTTCTTATAACATATTCAATAAAACTGCCATATAGTTGATGAAATTTACCTGTGGTGGGTGACTGAAACAAATGGGGTGACAGACTAACCAACTGAAATGACCACGTATACAAACTCCTTTTTTTGAACAGACACAAACGATCAGTCTCCTGACATCTGACAGAGATATGACTCTCCTGTCTCTTCTGTTTGATTTTGCAGTAAAAAAATATATACTTTTTGATGAAAGAAGCATACACAGTTGAAAAATAGTAGCTTATTTGTTCACTTGAGGGTTACTGTGATGGTTATAACACAATGAAAATTAAAATATTAATTTCAACCATCTGTTTTTTTTGCTATGACTATATCCATATTTCTGAAACACTCTTTGGAAACATTCAAGAAAGTCCTTGTCCCCAGGTTACCAGCTAGCAGTAGCCAATAAAAAGGGAATGCTATCACAGAGTAAAAGAGCTGGTCAGGCCTAGGGCACAGGTCAGGAAATCTGCGTTGCACTGACTGTGAAAGAATGAAACAGGCAACCAATTATAGATGCCACCGGAGGTTCCTTGTTAACTTGCTGTTCTCTTAAGAACAACCCTGTAGTGCAATTTCTTATACTTCTAGAGAGGAAAAAAAAAAACCCAAACAACCAGCCCCAAGAGCTTAATGTTTAATCAGTATAGTTCTACATTCTTGTGCTGAATCATCATTTCAATTCTAGCAAACTCATAAGCTGAAACAGAAAGTGCCTACTAGTGTCAGGACTTCCTCAGAGACTGCTAAAATGTGTCTCATTAAACCTAAATAAAATGGGTCAGAAAGAGGTCTAGTAAGTTTCACATCAAGATTTTAGTGGATCCAAAATTTCATCATGTGCCTCAGACTCGTCTGTTTTATTATGCATATAGGGACTAGAAAAGTACTGAAGAATTTGCATTTAACACTAACAGCAAAACTAACAATATTTATCTTTAAGAACATGGTCCCACGCTCCACAGCAACATTCACATAATGGAATTTGTTGAATGGAGGTAATTTTGTCAGTGCTAATAAGAGAGATTTCATTCACTGTTAAGTGCATCAAGACTTACAGACAGTAAGCACACTTACAGCTAATGCAGCATTAAACTTAGCAATTATTCTAAGTTTGTAATGTATTAATGCAGCTATGCAATATAATTGTTTTAAAAAATATCAAGAATAATTGAAACATACCTCTTTTCTGTAATGGTTAGCAGCATCCAAGTTATCTATAATGATAGTGTCACCCAAGAGCATTCCAAACACTGAAAAATGTAATTTTTTGAACTATGAATTTCTCTGCAACAAAGGAACTTGAGTTTTGAAAAATCAATTCTGAGGCATCATTATTACAGGTTTTCAGATAAGTGCAAAGGAAATAGCACGTGCATGATGTTTTTTCAATGTAATTTTATTCTGAGATTCAGAGAAATATGCAATCTGCTGTTTTCATCAAAGAATTAACAAAGAAAAAATTTAGTATGTTTAATTGTTTTATGGTACTATTGACTGTATATTATGAAGACACATAATAAAATCCCAAGTTTTAGGAAACTACATAAATGGTATTTTTTTAAGTGTTCCTTGAACGGTGTTCTTGATTTCTTAGTATGTTTCTTAATATTCAATGGGTTATCAACAAAAAAAAAAAATTCCCAGGCTGATGATCCAACTGATTTTAAGAAAAGTCTAACTTGATATAACCCTGCATGAGATATATCAAGCAATGTACTTTTTAAATTCCCCCACAAAAGCAATAGCCTATCTGCGAATGAGGGACACAAAGAAGGATTTATAGTTAAAGTGTCTCACAAGATCTTTCTGAAAATAAACTGGACTAAAAATTATTTTTTTATTAACAGTCAAGAGGAATATTTTAATACTGACAAGCTGTGCAAAATGAAAAATTTGTTGAACTAATCATAGATTCCAACTCTTAATATAAAGGAGTAGGTCTACTTTATTTAAGAAAAGAAGTGTAGGAAAACATAGGTACTGGTACATTGTTAGAAAGAGCAAGAGGATGATGAGTCCCTAAACTGAAATCTACATAAAAATTTAAAGATTATTTTTACTTTAACTATTTAAATATAAAATATATAGTCATGTACAGTTCGGACTGAGTATACATAAATCCATGCATTACACATTTTTGAGAGGAATAGGACTGGAAAAACAGCTTCTGCTTACATGAGCTTGGGAATAAGATAATGCAGCAGTAATTTATAAAAGAAAAAAGCTTCTAGTATGTATAGTACAGAACATAAGACAACAAGCAGAAGACAGTGGTCACTCCTGAAATTTTCACAACTACTGTTTGCAAGTACTTAATGCCGATGTCATCCCCTTACATACGAGGATATACACTGGTATTTGCAAATGTCTCAATGAAAATTACTGAATGGGTTATGATTTGTGATGTTTCTATATTTCACTTATTAAAAAGAAAGTTATGAACAATTTATTTTATATCATTTACCTGTTTGACAATACTCCACATTATCTGGAAATGTTAACAGATCTCTGGCAAATACAGGGTTTCCAATAGGTCTGAAGAAGATTTTTCCATTTCTTAAGTGAGGTAAAGGCCTAGTTAAAGAAAGGGGAGAGTGAGAGAGAAAAAGAGAAGAGAAAAAAGGTAATTTGTCCTTTTTCATTATTGCTTCAGACAACCTAGACAGAAATCTCAAACGGAACTGAATGCATCTTAACGCTTCCACATGAGGTTCTAAATGATCCGAGCATTATCTGAAGTGCGTTATATTAAAGATGCTTTGGTGAAACGCTAATTTGTAATGAGGCATATAGCCAACAAATTCATGTGACTAGTTTTATGGACAAGTTTTAATAGACTATTTTATAAAAACAGATTTTGGACCTTATAAATACATCTGCACATCAGATTTTTTCTAAAAGGGATTCCTTATGATATTAGCAGTAACTTTCATAAACAAATTATTTTCAGGCACAGAATTATTATATTTTCCTTTATCTTCCAGGAAACCAAAAAAGCAGAATGAATTTCTATTACTACAGATGTAGTAGGGTGTATACTCCAGAACTGGATGTTTTAAAAAGTTAGAATTTGATTTGAAGCACTGGAATTACTAAAAAAAGTTCCTGCTCTAGAAAACATGTGGAAATGAAGGCAAAAAAAAAAAAAAAGGCTGATTGTTTTCTCTTTTTAAGAAAACCACTCAATTAAATAAAGAAAAGCACACAGTTAAAGATATAAAACTAGGATTTCAGACAACATTTCAAGTGATACTACTGTTGCCAGAATTATGAAACCAGAAATTTAATTCTTTGAATCTTTAATAGGAGTCAAGTTTAAAAAATAAATTAGACAAAAAAAAGTTAAAGAAAAATGTAATACAAATGTAGAAGTTTCATTGTTTTTCTCTACCTGTTCCAATCAGGGAGTGTCTTCTTGTAAATAGAATCAAGGGGTAACACTTGTTGTCGACCTTGAGTTTCATCAAAAATAAAACGAGCGGCTTCAGTAGTCAGTGTGACTACACAGTCCATGTCGCTTGCCAAATGCCAAGAGATAACTTTTGCTGCTTCGTTATCCTCAATTTGTGCTAAATGTGAAATCTGTACCACAGAAGTTAGAACAGTCAAAACAGAAGCTAAGACCCCCACCTTTTCATAGTAATCACAGTCATCCTTTAACATCAATCAGACATTTGATTCCCCTGTTGATGGCTCTGTTAGAAGAGCTGGTCACCTGATGGGTCAAGAATGACATCTTCTTTTTAATATTCTGCAAAAATTACTTGCATATTTGGTTGGATAATTTTTCATCATTTCCACTTCCTAGAACCAATAAAACTCATTTGAAGGCTCTCTGAGAGAAAACTCACCTTGCCTAAAATATCCTGGTTGCCTTTTGGATAGTTTGGGAGGGTACAAGTTCGCCTTGGCTGTTTCATTAGTCCTTCTTGATCCTGCATCTTTTGTTTTATAAGAGAATCCACATACTGAAGCTGAGAATTAAAATTTAAAGTTAGCAAACGTATCATTGGGCTGAGCTGAAGAAGTAGTTACTTTACCTGTTGTCAATCAAGTTCCTAACAAAAAGCATTCAATAATCTGAAACAGACTCTTAACATATAGGGGATCACTGCATATAATCTCGGAGGAGAGCAAAAGGAGCCACACTGCAACTGTGACTATGAAGTTTTTTATTACTACTTTTTTTTAAAAGACTTCAGGGAGCTTTTTGCAAAGAGCTACCAGAGCTTGATTAAAGCCAAAACTGAAGAAAGTTTAAATCAGTAGAAAAAGGCAACCACAAATGTACAAAAATAAACCATTTTAGAAGGGGACTATGTCCAGACCGGAAAAATTCAGTCAGCAGGGGGAACTTGGGCATCATGATTGCAGAATGTGTATAATTTAATTCTATCAGTTTGTGATTAATGGCTGTAACATTTGCTTTTACTTAATCTAAAGATAACTGATAATTTACATTATTTTTCCACAAATGTTAGTAGTTTGAAAATTTTCTTTAAAACATTTCTGTAAAACATAATTTGATCTTTATGGGAAATTGGCAATGGGGTACATTGCCCTGAATCTTTCAAACTTACTTTTACCTTGACTTTGACAGTAACATATGAAATTCACTAATTCCCTAAAATTAAGTGTTTTCCTTTGGTCTAGTTATGCCCGAATACATCCAGTGGATATTAATCAGCCTGCAAAACCCCATTAGTAAAACTAGCAGCACCATTAACACAACTGGCAACCTTAGCAGAAAGGCAAAAACAAGATCAGGACATAAAAGAAGTTTTTGTTATTCCTCTAGCAGTTTCTTTAGGAGATAGTCATACTAGCAGAACAGTAAAAAAAATTTCGAGTTTGGTACTGATCCACAGATTTTCCTCATGGTTTAAATTTTCAGGGTTTCGGTAACAGGTGCTTGTGTAAATACCAGTGTGATTCAATAATGTTATATAACGATATCAATTCCATATTGGATTGGATTTACTTTTAAGATGTTACAGAGTTTAGTAAGAAATGAGCCATACTGTGTTTGTCTGTGGTAATTCAATTTGGTGTTTTTTCAGTTCATTCTTCAGATGAGTTTCTCTTGTTTCAGCTTCTTTAACCTGACCTGAAACGAATACAACCAACAGAGAGTAAGGAAATATTAGAAAGGAACAGAACACTTCTTACAGAATTTCTTACAACTTTTCAAAATTACGCCGCCCACAGCTGATGCTATCTACTTCTCAGGACAGAATATCGGGATTAGTCCACAAAGATCTTGTGAATTGTTCAGTTTCTAAGCGACTTCAGCAGCTGCCACCTCCTTCAACTTCAGGAGGCAATGGAGCTAGTCTTTAGATCAGTCTGAAAATGTAAGCTCTTTTTTCTTTTCATCCTCAATTATCTCTCCAAATGGTTCTCCAATAGGCAAAATGGCAAGAGGGAAGGGAAGAACAGTAGCTGGCACTAAGCTCTTTTGTCTCATATAAGAGACACCACTTTCTGGACACTATTTCCTCAAATCTCATACCTGAATTAAAGCAATTTTTAAAACAAATGAGTAAACAGGTGAGTTCCTTCTCTATTCAAACAAGTTTGTATTTGGAAATGTTATTTAAGCATAATGTTGTGCTCTAACTTACTCTCTAGAGATATTCAAAAGTCTGCAAATATGAAGCAAAACTTTTTGTGTTTCAGACTCGAATTCAGGAATTTGCATCCATAATGGAGATGTGCAGTAAGGAAGTGACAGAAACATAGCCCTGTACTAAAATTACAAGAAACAGCAGCACCTTCTAATTCCAGCATGCTTTATTTACATTTAGTGATTGCTTAAAATAAAAATTCAAAATGCACCCATTAAAACAAACCTTCTGATAAGACAGTCAGACCACCAACTTTAATGTTTTACTCTTCTTTTGACAGTCCTGACATAAGACATTCTACCTCAAATCAAGACACTTTATAGGTAGGTTCATCCAAATAACTGGATGTTTCCCTGCTAATGCAAAGATATACTCCATTCCGCTCCCCTCTAATTACTGTACACCTCATGCTTTCAATACTGATTTTTCTCCCCCTCTCTATATTCTCAAAATAATTGAAGGAAAAAAAGTTTAATTCCCAGGAAATTTATTTATATACTTGATTGAACTTACACTTAATTTCAGTTACAAGCTGATTAGTAGTATCAAACCAACTTCTGTAAACACTTATGGACTGAGATAACTGGTCTCTTTCCTTTGTAAGTGCTGCCATCTGTTGCTGCTTCTTGAAATCTACAAAAATAAATACATATATTTTTAGAAGAAAATACAGCAACATATTTAGTTGGTTTAAACACCAGCAAAAATCTATTAAGCTGTTACACAGTTCTGAAGAAGTATTATGGACCTAAAAATAGTTGCTTCTAAGGAAAAGTAAGCATTTTAGAGTAACTGAAACATACCATTGTAAAACATAAATGACAGACGGTATGGTTCCACAGGTTTTTTCAAAGCTGGCACATCTGGCTCAAATGTAAGAATATATTCAGTGCTATCTCTTCCAGGACTGTTTTCAGCCAGGACTAGATTCTAATGAAACAAACAGCCAAACATACATACATAAGTTTTTGGTCACACTTGAGGTAATACACAACATAAACATTATTCAAATACTAAATCTCAGAAAGTTACCTAACACATGATGTCTATATAATATTACTACAGTTTTAAGTATTGGCTTGGAAATGCCATTTATACCTAACAAAAAGAAGCAAAATACAAACATTTAGCAGTAACTATTTTATTACTTAAGAATTTAAGATTGTAATTTTACCTGTTTAAAGAATGTTATTATTTTTGTCTATATATTTTATTTGAGAGACATATGGTCAGAAAAAATATTATCTGCAGAAAAATATTATCATATTATCTTATTATAAGCAAGATTTCCTCGGATGTACATCATTCGGCATGTGAACAAATGCAAGAAGAACATTAAAAAGAAAGACCCAATGCATAAACACAGAGAAAGAAAAAAAACTATTCCCAGAGCTGAGTTAAAGTTACTGCTGTTACCATGGAAGTAGACAGCAGGTCCCCAATGAATGAACAGTATATATCCAAACACTAACATGAACATCCCATTTCTCATCAATTCCTTATTAAAAAGACAAACTAAATCCTTCACCTTTCTTTACAAGCACAGGAAATATTATAAAACCATAAATAATAGTAAACAGAAATAAAATTAGTATAGTTAATATCTAAATGTGCTGTTACTTTGGGAAAGGTATCATGCATAAAATGAATAATGTTTATAATAAAACTCATACTGTTTCCACCTTTAACATGTAGAAATTGCTACTCAACTGGCCAAATCAAGAGAGAGGTGGTTGCAGCCTAAAAGAAGAGATAGATATATAACCTTCAAAGATAGTCTTCATGGCTTTCAAAAATATTGCAGCTACATATTTAATCAGGAGAAATCTGTAGCGGAAATACCTTTTCCTTAGAAAATTTATGCTAATAAAAACCTAAACATTTTCCTTCATTAAACAAGTTTAGTATTCTTGAACCTTGGTGTGAGGTAAACATGTCAGACTATCAGCTTCATTACACTGATGCTAATTGCACACGATGACATTTATAAACAAGATAGAACAATTTCAAGATATTTGAAAAAACACTAGTGTGTCCCCTTCCCCTTATGAGTCAGATGAAAAGTACATTGCCTTACAACCAACAAATCCTTCCACATGAGTTCTGTGAGTTCTCTAAAGTCAGAGAACTCAGCATAAACTAGACAACTGAAAACTCCCTAAAGAGAAGAGATATGGGATTCACTGAAATGGAATTACTCCCAATAGAAGACTCGGTAACACAAGTTACTGTCAAAAACAGAAGGATCTCATCAGATCACAGTAATGAGAGAGCACAAGAACACAACATCCCCACCCCACCAACAAACCAGGAACATGTAAGTTGAAAGAGAAAGCATCTGCCTACCAAAAAAACCCAAGCCAAACAAAAAACCCCTCCAAACATGCCCCTCCGCCATTACATAGGTTGTTAGCTTCGTTACTGAAGCAAGACTGGAGTATTTAGGTCACACTGGCTCAAAAGCAGATCATCAGCACATGGAGATTAAAAAATTGTTATTACTGCATCAGTGAGGAGTCTGAGAAAATATCCAGTAATTTCATCTGAACTGTGAGGGTCCATTCTATGGGGTTATTATTCCCTTCAACAGTATAAAGTTTTAAATTTCTATTGAAGTTTCTACCACAAGTGTAAACGCAAGATTTGTGGAGAAAAGTGCTATTTTATTAGACCAGCGGTTATAGCTGACCACTTAACTATACTTTTACAATTTTTCCCACCCCACCTGCCTGAGAAAAATGTGTTCACAAACTAATTAATTTATTAGTCCTGAAACATGGCTGGGGAACAAGAGAAACTCAGACCGCACCATAAAGCAACCAGTATACTAATTGTATCTGATACCTTTATTCAGTCCATGCATATTATTTTTATAGCTTGTTTGTCATACATACTTTGTCAGTTTTCCTTATGGATAAGAGCAGACCAGAGTCTGACAGATTGTTTAGTGAGAAGTGTTTGCCCATGTTAACTGGATGTTTCTGTCCTTGACTGTTATCAACAGAGAATTAATTACACTGTGTCATTAAGTTTCATCTACTCAGTTACAGCTCATGTACTGAATAAAATACATTATGAAGAAGTTTGTACATAGGATCTGTAGATTTTAGTGATTCTGCTGGGGTTTTATTGTGGTTATTTCCAAGATGTACTGGGAGATTTTGCATTTGTTGCTAAGGCAGTCTCTTCTGCCTCCACCTGGCACACACTATACCATCCTGGTCTGCTGGGAAGTTGCTTCCAGTGAATGAGTTAGAAAAGGTGGCTGAGAAAATTACTTTAAAAAGTTGGATCCTCCTTCAGTACACCTTCTAACTGTTCGAAGATTTCCATAGACTTCAGGCTAGTAAAACATGTGACAACCAGAAGAACCAAGTGAAGAAGGGGTACACTTTCACTCTGCAATTCTTATATGATACTTCAGCAACTTAAAAAAAATAAAATATATATA